TACAACCCATCACTTCTTTTTCACAAATCAACTAAAAAACAAGTTCTACCTCATCACCAATTTCACTCTAATATTCGCAGAGTCATGTCGTTACTGGTTGACGAACTGTGGACATTATAAGCGGGATAGTACTTTGCAGCGACTTGCTCTCTCTGCGCGAACTCTCATCCCGACTGCAGGTCTCCGTCGCGACTCCTGATCGACCGGACGAAGCCTCCATTAAAATTAATACATATTTTTGGTGAATTACTGAGTTTAGGCACGTTAATAAACGTTCTTAATAATTGAATACATATATTCCATATTGTGTCAGTGATTTCATGTCAATTCGGCGACATAAACCTGAATGATCGTGGTGAAGATGATGATTAAATTAGGATTAAAAATCGAGAGCCGGGCTGCATTTCCTCCCGTTCGTTTTTTTCGAATAACAAAATTATTTTGTTAAATAACAACATGGTGATGTTTTGTAAATGATTACATGTCTCTTATTTAGCACAGTAGTATGATATCCGTGACATATGGATCTTAACAAAGTTCCGCTGTACATCCAGCGTACTGTATCTGACTTTATTTCACATGAGCTCCAGTGTGGAACCCCACTGCACCCCCTGGTGGATCAATGATCCATTGCAGCTGGCTTCATTATAAATTACATTTATCTATCACGGGGGCGGTCTCAAGTCAAGCTGGAGGTTTTCCCTTGAGCGAGAGCAGATCACGTACCAATCACGGCCCTCGCGTTTCAAACTGTCTGAAATGAATCGCTACATCTGTAACACGGCGCGGCTCCCAAAAAGAAGTGTGAGGGTTTTCTGGTCAAAGCGACAATGCACAGCGCCCATATGGAGTTTTGTTTTTTAAATGTCCATGCAACCGACTAACGTGTGGTCGACAGATAGGGGCAGCCTTACTTACCACCAATCCAATACAAGTTAGCACTGCCTCTTAGTTGGACTTTCTACCCTCTCATATATCTTAAAAGCCATGTCCTGAGGGGAAAACATGCTGTGTTGTGCTTAAAACCCATAAGAAAGCCTTGGTTCTCACCTATCTGGTTATACATCTTGAATGCGATGTCAAACTGCAGGATGACCAGCATGAACTGGAACCAGGGGCTCATCTCTTTGTTGGGCAGTGGAATGTGAACAGCAAACACAATGTTGTTGGCCTCAATCTTCTTGGCCATGGCCTCTTCGAAGTTCCGGATCTTGTCGCATTGGTTGGGACCCCAGGGCATGAACCATTTGGATTCCTGTCGGTGCTTAGTCGTGTCCACACACTTCGTGGCCAAGTAGTGGACCGCTGTGGTCGGGCTGGGAGCTAGAGAGACAAAAACAAAGTAATGTTAGACGAGGTGTCATGTTGAAATACCGCAGCATTTTGAAGTGTTTCAAGGTCCTGCCAAGCCAAATGTCTCCTCAAACTAATACATTCTGAAAAGTTTGAGTAGAAATCAATAAATAAAACTTGAGCACTCGGGTTTGAACTGTGCAAGGACAATATTAATATCTTAGCAGCCATTAGGAAAAGTCAACAGCTTGGGTTTAGGCCAAATCCAATCCAAACACTTTGGAAATTGCTTTGAACAGTGTTTAGAAGCTGCCTGGTTACAAAGCTCTCCCTCTCTGAGGTGACGGGAAGGGAGAATTCCCGAAAGCTCTCAGGCAACGATTACAATGTTTACGCATTGAGATTCATGAGTTTGACAAGACTGTTTGTGGTCTCTCCTCACAGGTTTTTAGAAGTGCTTGGGAAAAGATCCATCATTATCATGCGAAGACAAAAACTTTAGTGTCCCGTTGTTAAAACTGGAAGGTCCATGTGAACGACATTTGAGTGCTTTGAGAGTGGAGGTGTCAGTGAGTTAAAAGCTTAACTATCATGTAGTGGAGAATGATGTCAGAAGATCAGCATGTTCAACCAGCTTGTAGGATTGAGTATGGGCTGGGATTGCGGCAAAAATAATTTAGTGCAACACTATAAATGCTCTCAATGCTATTGACACAGCTTTCTTTCTTATGTCCTTTAGCCCAGAGTTCACTGGACTATACTTTACCAAAAGGAGATAATGCCATCACAAATGTTGCTGAAGGAAAAATGTAAATGAAGCATTAAATTACCTCTGCTGTGGCTGTTTAATTGTATTCTCTTGATACATTAAAAACATCCTTTCTTAGGATGCATATTTTGCACAGGAACCCTTCATTAAAATGTAAAACATTGCAATCGTCATTGTAATTCATTGTATATTCGTTATACAGTTACTTTCAATTTAAACTAATCTAAACATTTAAATAAATCATCCACCAAAAGTGCAGTTTGATTCTCAGATTAGTTGTCCTTTCTTAAATCCATATCAATTCAGCTTTATATATTCCCTTGAGATCAAAATGGGGACATCATTTTTAGTACCCAAGTACCTGGGAGTAACGTTAAGACACAACAGAACCAGGAAGAAAAACAACAAAAATAACTGATATATGAAAATATGAAAGTCCTCTTGTCTGACTAAATATCAGTGGAAGGACTTCAAGATAAATGTGAAGATACTTCCACTGCGTTTTTTGATATATGATTTATTCTTGAAATATTCAATACACAGAGACAGCAGCGATACAATACATTACATTAATCCTGCGATAACTAACAAAATAACCCCAAGAAACAACACATCAGTTACAATTAGACAATAATTAAATAAAAGAAAAAAGAAAATATATATAAAAAATGAAAACCTGCGAGACATTTTGTGAGCATTTCTGTGAGCTGTTGCGGTACAGGCCAATGGGGACAGACTCCAACTGGAGGGACTTAACATGTTCTAAGAAGGGCAGCCAAATGTTTGTGAACTTTAAGTCTGAGCCCCTAATACAGTGTTTATTTTTTTCCAATTTAACAAAGTATAGGGCATCCTTTATCCAATCTGTATGAGAGGGGAGACGAGGACACTTCCAATGCATCAAAATAACGCGCCAAGCCAGCAATGTGAGGAAAGCTACAAGTTCAGTGAAATAGGATGGCAGTAAATGATCAATGGGCAAGACACCAAACAGGCCAATTAAGGGTGAGGGATGGATGGTAACAGACGTGATAGCTGAGAATCCGAAGATTCTGGTGTCTGCTGGGTCCCTCCAAATCCGCTACCTTAGTTTTGAGAGTCTCGTTGTCCCCCTTCAGAGCGGAGCATGCGTCCTTGGTCGACTTCAGTAGCATTAGCTTCCAGAGAATGTATACGCTGCCCGTGGGTCTGTGATAGCGGAGTGTATGCTGTCCAGGGTAGAAGTCAGAGACTCGAATGAGGATTTGAAATCAGCCGTGAGAGCTGCTCTATGTTCATCCAGCAGCAAGCTAATGTCAGCCAAAGTTATGCTAGGAGTCGAAACTGGACTTATGCTAGGAGACGACGCTGACGGAGACCCTTTGCTAGGGGTTGACCGATTATCGGCCTGGTCGATTATCGAGGCCGATATTCTGCATTTTACAGATTATCGGTATCGGCTTTTTTTTTAAACGGGGACCTATCATGCAAAATGCACCTTTGTACGTCTTTTATACATGAATATGTGTCCCCGGTGTGTCAGGGAGTCTCACCCAGTGTCAGAAAACACAACCCTCTCTCTTTTCCTCCATACCCAAATCTCTAAAAACGGTGCTGCAACGGATCTGATACAGACTGATACAGATTTGAAAATAGTGTGACGTCAGTGACGAGGAGCTCCACCTATATGGCCAACTCTCCACCAATCAGGGGAATGAGATGTTGCCGTGGCATGGTAACATGACACTCGTAACTCGGCCCCCTCCTTCGCAGGGGGGCGTGGTCAGCTGCAGTGCATGCAAAGACAGGGTGGAGGAGAGGAAAATAGAGCGAAATGAGGCATGGCTAAAATGCATGATCTGTTTGCTATTTTGAAAAAGAAAACTTATAAATATACCTTATATAGGTATGGCCCTACAATATATTATTCAAATATAGCATGATAGCTCTCCTTTAAATCAAATTGCCGATACGACTTTGGCTCTGATGCGGCAGTTTCTCTGGCTGCAGTCACCACTCTCTGTACACGAGCAATGTCCCGCCCACAGCGCTATCTGATAGGCTATTAATGAAGTGTCAATCAACACTGAAGATTTTCTGGGCTGCAGCCAGCCAAAGAGGCGGGACTTTATCAGATTACAGGCAGGTGTGAAGAACGCAGACACAGTGCTTCGAAGGTAAATCAGTTGAAAGTTGAAGTTCAATAAACATCCCAATCCCCTATGCTGAAGTTGCAAAAACACCACGATTTTATGATCCAATTCTATCAGTTTCCCAGTTACAAAGGGAACGTCTCACAGCGGAGGAACTGTGACGCGCTGGGACAACTGGGACGACTGGGAAGGCTGCTGAATTTGATATACTTTATTATTAATCCCCGTGGGGAAATTGTTTCTCTGCATTTGACCCATCCTAGTGTTAGGAGCAGTGTGCTGCCATTTTGAACGGCGCCCGGGGAGCAGAGTAGGGAACGGTGCCTTGCTCAAGGACACCCCTGTAGCACTTGGTCTTGCCGGGACTTGAACAGGTGACCTTCCAGTTGCCAAGCCAAGTCCCTATCGACTTCGCCACCGCCGCCCAAATAATTGGGACTACTAAATGAGTGAGACTCAAATATCAGAAGTTCAGAACAAGTTTTATTTTTACTTCATTTACTTTACTCAGGGTCACAGAGAGGAAACCAGTTTTAAGATGTTGAAAAGTTCATTAAACATAAAAAGGCATTTCATAGAAGTTCTGTTATTCTACATTTTGACAACAAGATTTTCTGATTTTACTGCAAATGTATATCGGTTCAAAATATCGGTCTTGTTGTCAAAATGTAGAATAACAGAACTTCTATGAAATGCCTTTTTATGTTTAANACGCAGTTGCATATTTGGACTCAAAAAGCCTGGGATGTTGGTTATTCTCTCCATCTAGGATGACACCAAAAGCCTCCCAGATGTTGGATTTCGCTCTTGAGGAAGTGTTGGAAAATGCTGTATGCTCCGCAAGAGAGCTTCACCTCAGCCATTCAGAATGTGGCGCGCTCAGCAGCAGATAGATGCGCTGCAGAGGTTATGATTATGCACGGTCCCGCGGGGGAGAGGTCTGAGGATTTAAACATTAAACTAAATTATTATTATTTAAATATATTTATTATGCAAAACCCGCAACCCGACCCGCATCATCTTTGTTTTACCCAGAACCGAACCCGGAAAAAAGCGTTTAGAAAAAATACCACCCGCAAATCACCTTTTTTGCGGGTCACCCGTCGGGTACCCGCGGGTACCCGACCCGATGCAGGACTCTGGTCCACACACAGGCATGAAAAAAATCTTGATGCTGGGCGTGTCTGAAGCTTGGCGATTTTTTGCGAGCAACGCGACCAACAACCAATCACATGAATCTCCCGCCCCCGACATACAAAGCAATAGCAATGCTAAAACGAAGTAAACTGGATATAAACTCCCCAAACAGGCGAAAACCTACCAGTTTCACCCACTGTCTCTGCCACCTCCCTCCATGCCTGGTTCCTCCGGTTTGTATCCCGGTAAATAGTTCTGGTCGTAAAGAACCGGGTGATTTGCTACCGTAATTTCTCGTTTGGAATATGAGGAAATGAACTGCGGTCTGGCTCTCCCAGCTTGCACGCGGTTTGATTGGCTTGCGCTTGTACTGGCGGGATTTGCTTAAACGGGATTTGATTGGCTGATGCCAGCTTCGAAAGCATCGGGAGCATCAAAAGTTGAACATGGCTCAACTTTTGGTGCTCACGATGCTTGCAAAGCCATGCTCCGCTCCCTACAATGCAGTTCGGCGAAGATTAAAAATCTTCTACGTCACCCCATTCAAGTGAATGGGCAAAGCTTTGAAAGATTTTTTTCATGCCTGTGTGTGGACGGGCCGTAAGCGGCATTTTCCGCCTCTGAGTGTGACCGGTAGGCCCGTCTAATGATCCGTCGGAGCACCACACCCATTCTAAGAACACACAAGCAAGTAGATACACCAGTACAGTGTGTGTCCTGCTTCCAGTGGAAAATAATTCCGCCTGTGTGTGTGTTCCTGTCTCAGGCAGGGGCTGAAGTGCACACAGGATGAGCTGGCCGGCTCAGCGTTCCTCACAGTGAAGCTGGATGACTCAATGAAAGGATCCTCCGTTCAGGTGAGCGATGACTCACTGCGAGTAAAAACAGGTTCAGATTCTGGACATTCCCATAGTGATCCTCAACAGAAACACCAGACTTAGCCGTGACTCAAGAGCATTAAAGGACTAATAAAAAATGTAAACAATAATTATGCTAGGAGTTTTTTTCTCAGAAACTGACATGACTAAACAAAGGTGTTCTCTTGAGGATTGTGGAAGTTGCAGCTGAGGTGTCAACATTGAGAACCAACCCAAAGAAATTCACAATAACATAAAAGGGTTTACCTTCTTAACAATGAGCTAATTTCACTTTGAACATAGCTTTCACAAAGTTGTTTCCTGGTTGCTATAGATGGGTTTATTAGAAACCAAAGAGTAAAATGTCTGGCTTAACAGTAGCAGCAATGTGGGAAAACACTTTTATTAAGGGATCTGCTTCTCAAATCCATGAAACCTAATAATCACACAGGATTAAATACAGCTGACTAAAACCAACAATTAAAAAAAAGAATTGAACATTCTTCTGCCATGAAAAATAATGACATTGGACCACCAGCAGAGGGCAGTGTCGCTATAATATTTGATACCACAATTAAAGTTCAAATGTAGAATGGTAATAACAGAGTTGACAAACAAATGCTGCACACATTGAACTCCAAATTTGTTCAGTTAGTTCAAACAGATTTCCTTTATTTAACATTCAAAAAAAAATTCAAACAAAAAGCAAACAACCTGACAATGATGTAATCCAAAGGTTTGAGATATTTATTTCATACAGGATATACTGTTGTATTTGTTCAGCCTATTTACTATACATTACTCACTTTATCCTTCAATTTAGTTCAGTTCTCTATGGTACTGTACCAAAATAAATTAAGAGGGTATTGAAACTTGATTGAGTCGTGTGATCACCAAATCTATATTCATTTATGTAAAAGTTCAATTTTGTAGAGATTTATAAATGTCTGTTTCCTTAATCCCTGAGCTTGAATTGATAATTAGAATTGTTCAGATAAATAAATAAATATTTAATTACAATATTTATTAGATACAAAGATCCTCTTCTGTGTTTCTCTTTTGCAGAAGTAATGCATTTTTCTTATTTGGATATGTATATTGTTGAGATGAATACATTTAGAATGACCAAAATAAAATAAAACAAAATAAAATAAGTTTTCATTGACAAATAGTAATGGAAATATGACTTTTAATGTAAAGAAAACCTGGAATCAAATATATAATAAAATAATAAAAAATTGTAGATCATATTGCCATGTTCCTTCCTACCCATGATTCTTCATATTGCTGTTAGTTGGACGTCCAGACTTTTATATTACTGGATATGTGGACAATCTGTGTCACTTTTTCAGGCTAGCTAAGTTATAAAACAGTCTACAACCTTCATTGTGATGTCTTCCTTTGAATGACCTATCCACAGGTGAGAGTGACTCAGGGCCAGGAGCCCCCCCACCTGATGAGCCTGTTCCAGGGAAAGCCCATGATCATCCACAGCGGGGGAACGTCCCGTAAAGGGGGTCAATCTAAGAGCGGCACCACCCGCCTCTTCCACATCCGCCAAAGCTCCTCCAGTGCCACCCGGGCGGTGGAGGTGAGCCCACTCCCAGGACTGGACCTTGTGTTGTCACAACCTTGAGTTCCACCTCTGACCTGTGTCTGTGCTCCCCCAGGTCGAGGTCTCTGCTTCCAACCTGAACACCAACGACGTGTTCGTGCTGAAATCCCAGAGCGGCCTGTTCGTATGGAAGGGTGTGGGGGCCAGTGCTGAGGAGATGGATGCAGCCAAGCACGTTGTTGGCTTCCTGATGGGCAATCCCACCCAGGTGTCAGAGGGCAAGGAGCCAGGTGGGTGTCCTCTGAGGAACTATAGAAACTATTTGTCATAAAAGGTTGTGTCTTAAAGAGGCACTATTATGCCGTTTGGGGTTTTCCCTCTTCTGTACAGTGTTCTATTGGTTTGTATGCATGTTAATGGTCTGCAAAGGTTACAATCCCTTTGTTCCCTCCACACACACTCCCCCCCCCCTGCCTCCATTGGACTCCTTCGTTTACTTTAGTAACATAGTGACCTCACTATGTAACACTTGCGCTTCTATTGGCTAGCATTACAACAAATTGTATGTGATAGGTTAAGGGGCAGAACATCTCTAAGTGGTTGACCAATCACAACAGAGCCGGCCAGCTAACCAATCAGAGCAGACTGGGCTCTGGTTTCAGACAGAGGGTGAAAAGAGGTGCTGCAGCACAGGCAGTATGTGAAAAATAAAGAGCTTTTTGAACATTAAAGCATGGAAACATGTCAGAGTAGAGTCACTACTTTGCATACTGATATACACCTGAACATCAGCAGAAGAGGACTCTTTAAAGTAGAGACACTACATACTCATATGAATCTTAAAATGACCATAACTAACTAACTAAGGAAATATTAGATATTTTCTTGCCCAATGATGATACTTTATTGGATATCTCTGACAACGCAACAAGAATGCATCACTCAGTTTAAACATCATTCTCATTAGCCTAATGTCTGCGCAGTAGTTTAAAGCCAAAAGTTAAATGAACAGACTTTATCAAAGACATTGATCTTATTGACAGAAGGATTTAGAGCAGCTGTTTGTTTTTGTTGTTTAGAAGAATGTCATTGATTTTCCTTATGGTACTAGACTTTAAAAGGCAAAACTAAAAGGCCCTTAGCCTGTTAAGCCGGCGGGGGCTATGGGCTTTCTTTTTCTCACAAAACTGTGTCTCAGGGCTTCTTAACATTTAACAAACTATGAATGTGTCATACCCACCTAACGGGAAGAAACTCAGCTAACTGACGATACAAACCATTGTTACCGAAACAAAACACAAGTCTCAGAAGAAGTGCCTAAATGAGCCCTTAGAGAAAAAAGGCTGATGCACTTAGCACAGAACTCATGGTATAAATACTTGATTACTTATTGGATCTGCACAAACAAGAAATCAGATAAAAGCTGAGATTCCACAGATTCTGGAAATATAAGTATCATCACTGTGCAATCAAATTCCCGTCAGGGGAAGCAAACCCAGACAACACACAACATAGCTTTACGGAGCAAAAACGCAAATATGTCTTACCTTTTGCTTTTTCTGATCAAAAGTTGTGTTCAATGGCATTAAAACAGAGGTTCAATGGCATTAAACGAGAACAACGCTGCTGAAGGTTAATCCAATGTGTCTGTGTCACTTTGAAATGATCACTGAATCCATCATTCCATTTTTGTCAAAAACGGAAATTTCATATTAGCTGCTATTAGAGCTACAACCCAGCTTCCGGTTTTGGGCAAACTGCGTGCGCATCACTCTCAATCCTCAATGGAAATGTTTAGATGGATTTAGGAACTTCCCCTCGTTTATATTGGCTCTAACGGTTCAAAATAGGTGTAAATCATCAAAATCGACCGAGGGGGTCAGAGATAGGGCAAATCCACCCAAATGACCCCAGAAGTGTTTTTTGTTGCTAAACCTCTCTAAAAAGGTAAAATGTCACTTGTTTTGCATCAATCTTGATATAGGGTACTTGTTATATGTTATAGTTTGGATTCCTAAAGCTTTCAGTCTACTATCCCATCATTCAAGGGTGGTTTTCACTATGAGTAAAAAAATTATTTTCGGACGGACACTATAATTTACAGTTTTTTACTATGTTCAATCTGAATTTTCTTTAAAATAAAAAACATCTATATTGATTCTGACTTTTCTACATCCAACTCACAGGTTTATCATTACTTTGAGAATTTTTTTAATTAATTTTCCCCTTTTAGAAGTGAAGATATAGTCATTTCTGGGAATGTCATTTTGGAGCCTGAGACCTGGAAAACAGGCTTGGGGCTTAACAGGTCATGTTTAATTGCTACATGCTGTGTGTTGCCATGCAGATCTAGCCTTTCTATTTGCCCAATGGGTGGCCTGATAGGAAGCAGATGCTGCAGCTACAGAGGAGTCATCGGCATCTATCTTTGGTGGAGGAAGTAATTCACCTCCAATTGAAGCAAACACAAACAGCAAGTAAAAATGGGAAAAATGACTTGATGCTGATAGAAATTGTGTTCTCTGTCCCCCCCCAAGGTGATTTCTGGTCTGCTCTCGGCGGCAAGAAGACTTACCAGACGTCCAAGAGTCTGCAGAATGTAGTCAAGCCCCCACGTCTGTTTGGCTGCTCCAACAAAACTGGAAGGCTTATTGTAAGTGAAATAAAAAAGTAGCTCTACAGTATATCTTGGCCAAATTGTAGAGTGTCAATGCAATTAAATAACAAATTCACAAGAAAGATATGAACATAAAGTGTCAAAAATCATAAATCCAAACAGTCAGTCTGAGTTTTCTCTGTCTGTCAGGTGGAGGAAGTGCCAGGGGACTTCACTCAGTCAGACCTGGCCACTGATGATGTCATGCTCCTGGACACCTGGGACCAGGTAAGCTTTGACATGTGTGAAAATGTCTTCCAATGACTATGACACACACACTTCCCTAAAACTCTGTTTCTCTTCCCTGTAGATCTTCCTGTGGGTCGGCGACGATGCTAATGCAGAGGAAAGGAATGGAGCTCCTAAGATAGGTTAGTTGCATACAATAAGGAAGAAACAAAAGTACCACACAAAGCATACTGTCTAGCTTCAGAAACATGTTTAGTACAGTAGAAACAGTTTCTAGTGTCACAGTAACAGTGATCAGCCACTTATTTGGATGAAAGCTTAGGACAGAAACATAACCATTTAGATGCTTTTTAAAATCTTTTTTTATGGTAACATGTTGGCCACTTACAGGGTTCATTTTGGGTCTTTTCATACATTGCAACATATGGAAAAACATTTTTAAATCATATATTTTATTTTAATATTTGACGTTTAATTTAGGACTGTTAAAAATTGATCTCTGACATTACTTCGCTTTTCACAGTACAATACATTTGAGGCATGACATGACCTTTAAGAAAAAACTGCAGGAAATGTGACTATTAAATAATCAATGCGTAGCTCCAACACCTTCATTGTTGTGCATTTGAATTATTCACAGTACAATCAAATTCATTTGTGCAGTATTTTTAACGGTTGAAACTGTCAATAAAATCAGCAGCTAGCTGTCAGTTTCAACACTTTGTGTTCCTATAATAAATATATAAATACTAGACCTAACATAATTTCCGTTTCCCTGTCTCTTTTCTACCCACCCCTTCCTCTACCTCTTGTCCTGCAGCTAAAGAGTACGTGGACTCAGACCCGTCCGGTCGCCGGGGGCTGCCCATCACCACCGTCAGACAGGGGGCCGAGCCCCCCACCTTCACCGGCTGGTTCCAGGCCTGGGACCCCAAGATGTGGGAGACAGATCCCTTCGACAGAATCCGTGCACGTTTCTAAAAACACAAAATTCCCCAAGCTCTTTCCACCTATCTGACTCCTTAGCTGGCTAGCACTTTCTATTGCCATTTATTTTAACCATTAGAGTTATCATCAGGTTGAATGGCAGCCTCTATATGCCTTGGTCATGGTGCAGAGCATCGGACTTCATAACAGTATCATCAGTATCATCAGCATCACATCAGTAGTTAAAAATGACTTCCTGTTGCTGCATAATTTGTAATTGATAACGTGGTTTATTGATCTGTTGCACTCTATAGCTAATTTGTATCTAAGCCACTATCAATAATTAGTCTATTTGCTAGCTTATAGAGTCCTATTGTGAACCTGGAAATGTTAAGTACAACAAAGTTTTATGTTAGAAATGAAGAGTAAATATAGCCATATAGTAAAATGGCAGTTTTAACCAGAAAGTGACCATATTTTTACTGAGCTGATTTTGAAGTATTTTGGGTTGATTTGAAAGTTTTAGGGAATGTAAAACTGCCATATTAGACCCTAAACATTTCTTAAATTGATTCAGCATCCTCAATATGTCAGGAACCACACCAAAAGTGTACAAATCGGCCGGGCCATTTTTGTACTATTCTGCGTATGCTAAAGAATGCTAATGAATGCTACTTATGCAAATTGCCCAACATATGCAAGTTAGCATCCGACAGTTTCTATGTGCTGGGGAACCGTACTGTACATTTCTATCATACTACTTTGGGGTACTCACACTGCTGGCAAATAGACTAAATAGGAAAAATTGGAAAGGAAGTCATTTCAGGGAGCCAGAGATCCTCTGCTTCTCTCTTTCACTTCAGAAGACACAATCATGCTTTCCTTTCAGTCTGTCTTCAAAGTTTAGTTTTTTTCATAGACTCCATTACTTTGCGGTGTTTACATGTGTTGTGTTTTATTTGGTACTGAATAGTTGTACTTGCTAGAAGTTGCATGTTGCATTGTTTTTAAATCATATCCTGTGCTTGTGAATTTTTAAAAAGCGAACAGCGGCGTTTCCGCTGTCTTTATTACTTGACCCTGAATTGCTCAATGGATAGCTTTTAAATAAAAACTCCCAGTATTTCAAATCTGTGTTTTCTATTTGAGTGAATGAGAAAGAATCCTACGTGTCTACATTCTGCACCAACGCCTTTTGGTAATTTCAGTCAAACCTACAGACTGTCAGAAGGTTTATCAGGTAGCTTTCACTACCCTTCTCTCTCTTCTCTTGGGAAGAGAGAAAGGGATTTGGTTGAAGCTCTCAGCATCTGTCTAAGTAGGAGTAAGACATGAAAGCTCGGTTCACAAACACAGGTTGGAAACAGCAGCCAGGAAGGATTACTACCTGGAAATCTCTATATGTTGATGTGATATCCCAAATTGAGACTTTTGTCTAAATACATTATCCATAATGCAAATTCAGAAGATAGCCAATTAGCCCAACCTATAAATTAGATTTTAATCATTTACTGATTTCCTTACCAGGCTATGTGCTTCACAAAACACTCAGTAACAGTATCTGTAAGACATCCATACTGCGATACCATGTTCCCTGTGTATTTAAAATGGACTTAAAAGGATACCCAGGAAGCACAGTTAGCATAACAACACACTATTCAGTCCCAGTTAAATTGGTTAAGACAACTCAACTCCCCACTGAATGTAAATGTTTTTTCATGAATTTTAAAGAAAATAGGCTACTTGATAAGCAGATTAGTCATTTATAAGAAATAAAAAAATGCAGCATTCAATGACATTAAGATCAAACTTCATCTGCTGATGAACATCATTTCATATATTGGAATCTCTACAAAAAACTGATCTTGCTCCAAATTGGATTCCAAGGGGAAGAGTCAATGTTGAACCTCTTTTTGAACCAATGTGGTCAAAAGTATTTGCCAGAAAACATTAGATTTACGATGCTCATGTCCAGAACAGTTAATAAATTGACTTTGTGGTGAGACTTCTTTGATTCATAATAATACCCTATTCTGGTGAATGTGTCTTTCATTTGTTTTAGCTAAATTCCCAAACTGTAGAATATCCTATTGTCCATCTGCTTACATTTGTATGTATTTTATTATTTTTTCTTAGTAACAGATTTCACAAACACCAATTTTGCTCAATAATAGCTGAAGGACAATGTGTTGACGGTTATTGGCAATAAACCTGAGATGGGACTTCTAAACCTTGCTTTAAATAGCCCTGCAGGCTGTACCGCACAACAGGGGCGCTGTTACAGGCATTCAATGACACGGTAACCTGCATTACCAGCCTCTATTGCTATGCGGCGGCGCTCCACAGATCTCTCCCCCGCTCTAGTGTTGGCTGTTCTAGGATAAAGCTGAGTGCTAGTCGGTCATGTGATTCCTTTTTTTTCCTCCTTCGAAGTTGAAAGGCAGGAGCAGAGCGGTGGAGGGGGCCCAGCTTGCCTTCCTACTTAACGTGTTCGTCCCTTTTTCCGCCAAATTTTTGTTAGTTTCTCGTTCGGAGTGATATTTGTATCCAAACCTTTCCTTCACAATGGCGGGGGCTATTATTGAGAATATGAGCACCAAAAAGTTGGTAATAATGGGAGTAACTCTGCTTTTGTTCCAGGCGTTTGCCTTCATGGTCGGCGGTTTAATTGGTAAGTTTTAACCCTTTTTTTATACCTTCACTTTGATAATGTTATCAAGCTACCGAGTGTCTTTGTGCGCGCGTGCATAAATGTAAACGCTAACATTTGTCTTTGTGAGCGCATGCACTAATGTGTTAAATGTAAACGCCAACGTCTCTACACGGTAAAAGCACAAAGTGTGCCTCAACAACAGCTTCAAACAAGGTTTTAATACAAAAGAAAAGATGTTAGGATCTAACTTTTAGCTTTTTTTTAAGGAGTTGTGCTTAACAATGCGGTACTTTGACACCTTAGCTGCCGAAATGCACCTCAGTTAAATCACTGCTTTGTATCAAGGTGTTTGCTGCTGCATGCCACAACCGCTGGATTCATGTTTTGGCTAAAAATAAAGTAGGATAACATATTTGCACTGGTGTAAAGTACCTTAGTGCATTTTCTTAAGTACTCTACCTAAGTATAATTTTGAGGTACTTCACTTGAGTATTTCAATGTTTTGCTTCTTTGTACTTCTACTTCACTACAATTCAGAGGTAAATCGTGTACTTTTACTCCACTACATATATATTTAGTACATCTAGTTACTTTACAGATTTGGATTAATGATGTGAAATATAATCAAGTTTTAAATCAGACTTTAGTTCCACCTGGAGTAAATTCACAAGCTACCCTGCAGTATACAAAGTCATTCAAACTAGCTACACCTTTACCAGCTTTGAGAACACTTTAATGATCAATAATTATACAACATATCATATATATATTATTCTGAAATGGACCAATCTGCACAATGACTACTTTTACTTTTGGTACTTAACTATATTTCGATGCCTCTGCTTTTCCTTGAATACAATTTTGATTGCAGGACTTTGACCTGTAACAGAGTATTGCTACACTCTGGTACTTTTAATTAAGTACAAGATCTGAGTACTTTTCCCACCTCTGCTTTTGCATTTTCAGCACTGTAATCTTTTGTGTTTTTTACTTATTTGATCCAAACTCGACAGCTCCCCACCCTTTTTTTCCCTTCACATACCTCCTGCTCTTCCTCCTTTACCCCCACCTCTCATATATAATGTCTGTCTGCTGTTCGGGGCCCCAGGCAGCATCTCTACCTTCCTTTCAATCCGTCCTCTTCCCCCCCCTGTGTAAAGTCTCTCTTTTCCCCCAAATCCCTATCCCCCGCAGGCGGAACATTCATGTTTCCTCCTCTTCCCCCTAGTTTAATTTGGATTCAGACAGACAGCGGTGCACAAATATAAAACACAAGAGCACCCAGCTGTCAAAGTTGCATTTTGCCTTGAGGACCCCGTTGGAGTTGCTGTCAAGTTTTTTCAAATCCACCCACTCACACATGCAGCTACACACAAACACATTTGATAGAAAATGTGCCTCTTTCTTATGGGCTAAATCTGGAAAAATAGCCCCGAACACCAGTCAGCCTGTCTCCGTGTCCCTGCTCTCGCTCACTACATAGCTGGTGATAAATTAGCTTGTTCGGTTCGTTCCTGGCTGAGATGGTTTTAATGAAGCCAGATTCCTTTGTGTTTGCTCGGTGGCCAGGGGCGGCAGGGGTAATTGAGTAGAAAGGGTGTTTTCTCCCCTTGTTTCCCCACAATCCCGGGGACACGGCATGGGGTCAGCAGGCTGAGGGGACGGTCATTATCCTGGACACACTATGAGAGACAGGAGGAGCCGGTGGGCTGCCGGACTCACAGGTCACTGTATTCAAACTGCAAGGGGGGGCCGGATAGATAACTGGGTTTAATTCCGTCCGGTGTGTCATCTTTGTTGCTATATTTGCTTTTTCATGTTATTTTTACACAGCTGTTAACCCACTTACACAGTTGAAGGTTCCTTGAACATGGCCTTGGTTGAGTTTTATGAGTGTGGGGACTGTCTGTTAGCCAAAGAGTATGCAAACTGTTAGTGTAGTCCACCCCTCTTTTATGAGTCAGATTTGATTTTCAGGAACAAGCTATTCTGATTCTTTCTTCTTTGCTTACTTTTATAGTTTTCTTGCTGATATGGAAACCAGGAAGTAAGGAATAATCCAATCTCAAAGCATTTACTCCTCACGAGTTGCTGTTTGCTAGGTTCACAGTTGACAGTGATTACAGCTTTGAGTCCCCTTAGATATGTCCTTAATCCTTTTTGTAAGGTAAATCTGAATATTCTAGGCTTTCATGTTCCCCACCTTGAGTCGGTATACATTACACAAGCACTGTAATTAAAAATTCTAGAGTCTTCTTAGATAGATCCTAAAAACGGATGATCACATTTAGGAATGCAGGGTTTCTTTCTTTATTGTATCTTGGAGTTTCAATCAAACGCAGTGGAAGACTCGACTTCCGGTATGAGGTGTGCTGAGTAGACGCGTGCTCGACTGGCTCTAACTTTTCCACTCTTATTTACCTTTTTTAAACCTCGTCTTTTTTCAACATAATTTGTTTGCAACAGTTTTATAAGCCAGTGTTAACTACAAAGATCTCCGGCAATGTCGAAAGGGAAAACAAGCTGCAAAGGGTAGGGATCGACCGATATGGCTTTTTCAAGGCCGATACCGATTATTAGTAATCAAGGAGACCGATAACCGATGTTTGGAACCAATATACATTTGCAGTAAAATCAGAAAATCTTGGTGTCTAAATGTAGAATAACAGAAACTCCAACACAACTTCTTTGAAATGCATTTAAGCATATACTATGTTTAATTAACTTTTAAACATCTTACAACTGGTTTCCTTTTTTTTTAGTGCAGCCATCTGCAATGAGTTAGAGAGACAGAGAGTTCAAAGTGGGGCTGCAGGCTGACATGCTTAACTAACAATAATGCTTCATTTATTATATCAAAACAATGCCTATCTAGCATCAAATCCCAATAAGCTGCTAGCAACTGCAAAACACTAGTGCTAGCTAATGTTTTGCAAAATATAAAAAGTGAGGCTATTACAGTAGACCTAACGTTAGTCTAGTAGCCTCACTTCTAATATTTTGCTAAACATTTGCTAGATACATGTTGGCTAGCTAATGAACTTCACATATCAACCTGAAAAGCTGCGAGGCTCCTCTCGCACGCCCCCCCCCCACACGTTACTCCGCTGTACGCACCCAACTCTGACTGACTTCCGCGTCCCTGTGTAACTGGGAAACTGATAGAATTGGATCATA